GTTAACAGTAACGAGGTGGAAAGGATGGTGCTGTTTCCAGATTAGGACCAAGTTTCATCCCACAATATTCTATGGTGGCAACTCCTACAACACCTACCACGGTATGTTAAAATTTGATAAAGACATCAAATTAACAATAAATAATTATATTTATATATGTACTGTTTGATTATAAGAAACACATGAGGATGAAGGTGATTTTGGAATCTCCAAAGCCTCAGTACATACACATTGTTAGTGGTACACAGAACCAATTGCTGATTTGGGAAAACAAAAATGTTACTGAAAAGGAAAATTCTCCTTGGTGTTGCATGAAAATACGTAAGCCTTTCTGTTAACCAATAAACACGCATTTAGAACCTGAAGAGAGTTTTCTGTACATGCTCTTGTTCTCTCTGTATTATTTTCATTCCATCTCTACTTTCCCAGCTGAATTTTAGCTATTTTTATGCATCTATTCCTTTGCCAACTGTAATAGTTTTGTTGCTTTTCTTTGGTATTCTTGATAGTCATGGTACACCCTATATAACACTTGCACTTTCAGTTAAACTTCCTTCAATATGCATGACCAGATTTCCACACATTAATCCAAATAACATAAGTATTTCCATTATTAGCAACAGTTTATGTATTCTTCAGTAGCATTTCCTTTTCTTTTTCCACAGATTTCTTCTACTGTTCTTTTTCTGTGCTCACAAGGTACAGAGCTTCTTTCACTTTCTACCATTAAATTTCTTCAAACGCAAGACTCGCCAATTCACATATATACTATTAAACATCCTATTTGTGTTGCTTCTTAGGGCTATCCAAATACTTCTGTAGAATAGTCCAACGTGGCCCATATGATATTGTTCCCTTTGGTGACACTTTGAATGGTCTGATAATTCAACTTACGTGCTCTTGCTGTTACACTCTTTTATCCCAAGGCAAATCTTTAAAGAATTCCAGGGTAACTGTGTTGCATACAACAATTAGAAGTTCTTTTCTTCTTCAAATCCCTGTAACTACTTATTTCCTAGGTAACACCAGATAAACTGCTTTGTTGAAATTTTGGTAAAATAAATCTGTCATGTGTCTTTCTTTTATCTAGAAAACCACATATCCCTTTTATTAGTTGTTCTAGCAGCTCCCTACATATAGGAACACATTTAAGAAAATGAATATTGCCTGTATTCCTTACTGAAGGATAGTGACTACTGGATCCTATTCCTCTGGGAAATTTGAAGTTAACAAACCAGGTGACCTTTGTGCTTGGACAGGAAGATATTCCATTAAGGCCTTATGGGTGAAACAGTACTGCAACTTAAAAATGTAATAATGCAACACGATTATACAAAAGAACCTTGTGAAATGGACTAAGTTTAGAAAAAAGTACTTCAGATACTTATTTTTCTGAATTTCTGAGAAATTCAGTAGGATTTTATGGCTTCAATAATTAAATATTTTTCAGATTGGATTATGATGCACATGTTGACACAAATCTTTTCAATTTTTAGGAACGATTTTGATATAAAATTTTCAGTTTAAATTTAAAAATGTCAAATGCATTTCATAATTATTTAATTCAGTGCAGAAGAAAGGAAACATAGGGAACAACCAGGAAAAAAACTCCTCAGAACTTCTATGCCAAAATAGTTTCTCCTTTGCTGAATGATAAATCCAACATCTTGTTGCTCATTGAGATATCCCTTTGCAATATTCTGAGGAATGCAGCATATGTCAGTTGTGTGGAACAGCAGTGTAGTAAGAATAGCACCAAGGAGTTGAAAGATTTCGTTCTTACATATGTTTTCAAGTATCAGTTCTTGAAAAATGGAATATTTTTTGATGATGGTTATTCAGATAAAAAAAATCAATAATATATTTCCATTTGTTTCAGTGACACCACTGCTATTCAGTTTTCAGTGATGTCCATTCTACTTTTCTGGGACACAGATAACATTTCTTTTCATTTTAAATGTGATATAAGTCACGCAAAATTCAATTGAGCATCTTATAACTGAGAAGCATTAGATATATGTTCAGTTGTGCAAAAGAAACATACCTGGAATATATATACATAATTATATGCAGATCTTCATGATTTTAGATCAATATTTGAAGGGTTATTCATTTAGATCTTGTTTCTGCTAGTTTGCTTCATGGTTCATGCACTACTGAAACCAGATTCTTTTAGAATAACAGGGTTATTAAAGCAGCTTTGTCCATGTGATCTACTCTGGAACATTTCAATGCCAGTTTGACTTAATAAGACAAAGCAATGACAATTAAGCTTCATTGGTTCACAAATGATTTCACAACACAAAACTAACTCCTAGTGTCATGGATGAGAAGTGGATCATCTGAGAGATTATCATTAATTCATACCATGAATTAAATAATAAAATATTAATAATGAATGCATCCAATAAAGCCTATTTAATTGGAGTTGTTATGCTAATAGAACATAACAGAAATATGACAAACTCACCAAATGAACTAAGACTTTTAAAGCCAGTAGTTTTAATTAATTTGAGATAAATTTAAAAAAAGCAATCTGTATATTGTTATAATGATGGAATTGTGGGTACTCTGTCAGGTCTCCTGATGCTGCTACAGGAAGGTACACAATTTCCTAATGTAAGATAGTTGTTTGAGGGCTAAATTAAGCTTCTTGTTTGGTTTTTATTATATTCAGTGACTTACAGTCAGTGGGAAGAGTCTGACAATCCCAGAAATCAATTCAGCCCATTTATCTCAGGCCTGTATCTTAGGTTTAATAAGCAAAATCTAATAAAAAGGATTTTTGAGAGATTTTTACAACTGTATAATCAAAACTGAGTGATTTTCAGATGGAAGAAATGGGGTGGGCAAAATTCTGTGGGTTCTTGAATTATACAATAACACAGTCTATCATGAAACACCGTAGCCATAATAAGTCCTTTTTTATCCCCATATACTTTTTATCCAAACTTTTATTAATTTTTTTTAATGTCCTCAGCATTTACTATTCCACAACTGCAGCTGTTTCACATCCTCTCTTCCTTCTGTTCAGTAGCAATAAAGTGTGAGGAAAACAATATTCCAAAAATTTTATGCCGCTGCTCCCACTATTTTCAAGGGATTCTTTACTGACTGCCCCCTATTATGTTCAGTTTTCTATAGTGGGATGCACCTTCCCTGCTTAAATATCAAAACCTTGGAAGTCAGAATCTGAGACAGAGTCCTTAGGCTTCCTGTATAGTACTTGAGAAAAATGGGCACTTACAGAGCCCAATTCATGCTGTCTGAACATAGATGTTTAAAATAGGTAAGACAAACAATATCCTAAAAGTTCCTGTTTCTTTCATTGACCATAAATGAACCTTAGGATGATTGGAACAGTAGTAGATGTCTAAAGAAAAATATCTGAAGTTAGGTGTGATGAATTCTTCCCCACCTCTAAATTATTTCAGTTCACAACACAATTTTTTAGCTAAAAGCAAGTACTATAAAAGTAGTAAGTAACAAGGAATTCATAGTATCATGTTACTATAAAATGAGCTTTAATAAGTGCCACATTAAAACCTAAAAAGTGAAAGTTATAAAAGAGAAACTTGGAATATGAACACTATTAGAATTATAGGTTTGAGGTAGTCTGTTTTGACAAGAACAAAATTTCTGTTTACTTGTCTTAGTTTTGATTTGGCTCCTCGCTAAGTCCCCAAGACCCAGCGAAAGCCTCCTTTCCGGCCCCTCCCCTTCTCCGGCAAAACCGGGGAAATTATATCAAAATTCATTGCTAACAGAATAAAAACTATAAAGTGATATATACAACAATCCTAACTAATTCTCCTATGATAATAAAATCATGTATTTACAAAAATCACCCCTCCTCCCCCATAAAGTCCAGGAGGAAAAGAAGAAGTCTCTCCTTTACTCTCAGGATTACAGCTCCGATTCGCCATATCTGGAAAATCTTCTCTCTCTCTCATCTATAGGGTTCAGGATCTTAGTACCCCGCATCTAGCCATCCTCCAGCTCCACGGGGGGGGGAGCTGGTCAAACCACGACACTACTTGTGGGTAAGTGTAGTCGCCTTCAGACAAATAAGGTTTCATGGGTCAATGTCTGGCTGAAGCAAGGTACAAAATGCATTTACAACAAATCTTATCACTGTGTACATGACTGCATTAGTATCATGGCTTAGGAATGGTATCCCCCAATTAAGTGTCCCCACTGAAACTCCAAACCATGCTGCTGCTCACTTGCTTCCCTCACTCCCCTACGTCTCCCCCCTGCGAGTGGCTGGAGAGGAGAATTGGAGGCACAAATGGTGAAGATCACAGCTTGATATAAGAACAATTTTCGGAAAGACCAATGAAATAAGACAAGGAACAGCGACAACTGCAATACCAATGGCAGAATGTACAAGAAAAGAAATGTTACTGCTCACCGTGGAAACCTCCAACAATAGACAATACCCAACCGCAGCCACTCCACCTGCAACCACTCCCTCCGGCTCAGGACCAGTGCTATGCTACCACTACTGGAAAGAACCCCTTCTCACCAGAAATGAGTCCCTCTTCCCCGCTCCTGGCAATGAGTGAGGTGGTATAGAATAACTTCTGGGTCCTGGCCATGATATCTCCTGGCTACTGCAAAAATTAACCCTTTTGTGGTTGGAATCAGGACAATTAGATAAACTCAATTAACTGAAATTGGCATATAAACACATAAAAGCCAGATGAGTCATCTATAATTTGTTCTGAATTGTTTTATACCATACACACTGAAATTTCTATATTCGAAAGCGTTGATAAGAATATTACACAAAAATAATATAGAACATACATAAAATAATACTTATTTCAAATCAACGTACGAGCCATGAGATATAGCAGGGTGTGTCCAAATGTGACCACATTTATTTCAAAAGACACCCTGAATTTCAGTATGCTAAAAGTTAGTTACTACTGTGTATCAGAGTTATTCATCCCTCTATGAAAAGTGTTTCAATTGTGTAAGCATACCCTACTCACTTGCCATTTAATGCAGCTACTCCAACAGTGCTTCTGGCAATTGACATACTTGCCACAAATGTCCACTGCTGACTTTGAGGATCCCACCTCTCAACTGTGTTCAAATAACTCCAACCATCATGTCCTCCCACTGCATAAATAGGCCCTTCAAGCACTGTAACTCCTAAAAATGGAAGAGAGTGAAAGAACATAAAAGTATGCTTTCTGTATCAGTAGTAAAAATTAAAAAAGTTTTCCAAAACACAACCAACAAATGAACTTGTATATTCAAAGTAAAAATGGAAGCACCTATTTGAGATTTGATTAATTAACAAACAAGAATAAAATAATACCACTCCACACATTTCTATGAAAAACAGGTCTTGTCACACAAACTTAATTTCATTCCTTGAGAAGAGTGTTTGCTTCTTAGATTTCTGCAAACTGTTTGACTTAGTATCTCATAAAATTCTGATTATGAATTAGCTCTTTAAAATAGCAGTAAAGCACAAAAAGTATGGACTGGATAGCTGATGGATCTCAAATTATTGTCAACCTAAGGGTATTGGTAGGTTCCACAGGAAAGGGAAAGAAGTCTGATTTTTTTTTTAGCATTTCTGTCAATTATGTAAAAGAAAATACACAACTTTTCACTAGCAAGAAGTTTGATGGATCCATACAGAATCAAAAAAACACATTTAAAGGCTTGAGCAAGTAACTTAGAGTGAGAAATTTAGCTGCTTCATCAGTTTTACCCTGTTAAAAGAAGAAATAGCCAGATACCTTCACAGGAAAACAATGTTGTATATATAAGGATTCTTTTATTTATTGAAGAAAAGTAAAACAAAATGTAAAGCATGAAAGTTTAAAAAGGAAATATTTAAATAAGAAACAAATTTTTAACTATGAGGGATTTTAATAACCCAGTTAAAGGAATTGATCAATTCTCTCACTGTATCTTCAGTCAAGCTTAGAAGTTTCTGGAAGATAAGTTATAGCTAAGTACCATTTGTTACAAGAAAGTGAGCTCAGTAATTCCATTCTATGAATCCAACATCCCAAATGAGCATCATTCTGAAAAATCTCAGTCTAAGTACAATTCTATTCCTAAGTCAATGTCTTTTTTTTTCCCCCACTCCATTTCACATGATTTGAACTCATCAGAAAGTCAGAAAACAGTAGATCATTAAAGTTTCAGAGAACTGGTTTATTTTTTTTTTGCAGAAGAGTCCATTTTTAGTTTAAAATGATGGAAAGTTTCCACTTTCTGTGTAGAAACGTTCTATTTTAGAAAAGTCACTTGTTAAAAGATTATTTGACTTTAAAATTATATTTATCAATGAGTTTGAATATGTTTCCTCTCAGTGTTCACAGAAAGTGTTCCTGCACTTTGGGTGTTGGTTTTGGTTTGTTGGTATTTTTTAACTTAAAAAGAAAATAATTAGAAAGCCCTACTAACCCTTACGAAACTTATTCTGCTTATGAAGTCTGAGCCTTATCTTTTTCTGTAGAATGTTCTGCCAACTCATTCTCCAATGTTTTTCATTGTCTTGCTTATAAATGCTTTCTATTCAATTAGATCTTCCAGTTATAGTTTTTCCAGAATATTAAAGGGGATATTAAATTGAAGTCATGATGTATAGATCTCAATGACTTACCTCAGAATGCAACAAGTAACAACATGTAGGAAGATGTGTCAGTGTTCACACAAAAATTAGAGGATAGTAGGCTGTACAATACATGTAGTTTGGGAGTGGAGCTTTTTGCTTATTCTAATATCTAATATTTTTAAATACTCTTAAATCCCAAACAAAGAGGTTTACATTGTCAAAAAAGTATTTCCTATGGTTTATTATAACAACACTGTACTATTTAGCTTTTCATCTATATGCTCTTAATTTAATGAAAAGTTAAATAGAAAATCAAATTCTTATTGGGATAAAAATGAGTCATTCAAACAAAGTTTAGGTGCGCGAATGTTTCTATACACGTACTCACATACATAATTGGTGTCTAGATAAATGCACAAACCCTCTCTCACCTAAACAAATAAGCGGAGTTGTATTATTATGCAGTGATTTTCACAAGGAAACTATGATGCATGTCAAAACACATCTCGACATTTTGAAATTTCCAGCTTTCACTTCCTCAAATAGCCTATTTGTACTTCCATTATGATATAAAGAGTTGTTTTCAACTTATTCTTTTTATCTCATTCACTATTTCATACTTTTTGTCAAGTACCTCATACTTGAGTTTAATTCTCATCTTTTTCTTGCTGTAAATTAAGGCATCACAATTATTTCAGTCACTGTTTGGAAGGAAATTTGCTTTCCCCATAATCAAAATACCATTCTTCCTGCATTTTCATGGATTTTTATCACTACTTTTTTTTTTTTTTTAAATGACATTGAAAACTGATAAGCTCATGGCATTAATATAATGTTATTTTCTCTCTGCATTTCTTGTTATACTCTTTAACTGGGCTTTATACAGAAAATAGTCTACACTGGCTTCTCTGATCTTCTAATGAGAACTTCTCTGAGTTTATATAATGCATGTAGAACTCTGTGAGATGCACATTTCCTTCTGATTTTTTCCCCAATGATTTTGCATTTAGCAAATGGTGCTATGTTGTGAATTCAATTGGCTTTTTAAGTTTACCAGCGATCTCTGAATTTGTCTGATCTTACTGAATAACCTCTACATACTTTGTTATCATAATGTTCAATTCCATTTCCACACAAATTAGTCTTACATTGACACAAAGAAATGCTGCAGTTAAAAAAATGTCGAAAAGCTGGGAATATAGTCACAGATACACCAATAAGGAAACCTAGAAGCTTATTTTGCTTGGAGAATTTTAAGGTATTCAAGACAACAATGCCTGTTTGAGCTTGCCTGTTTGCATTTCTTCTATAACAGGAAAACTTACTGGCAAAGGTATAGGAAAATAATTCTTTCCATACATGAAAAAGACAGAAAGCCTTCTGTACAAAGCTAATCTTCCATGCTGCTGACTATAGCATATATTAATGCTATATCTTTACAGAATACCAAATGCGCTGACATCCTTACACTTGCTCCTTAAGAGCTGGACCACTTCTGGCCCACTAAAATACTGGACGAATGCATTCTGCAATATTGAATTAATTTTGTTTTGGTATAGTTATGCCTGCATATGTAAGGGAAAATCATAATTTCAGACGATGTAAATTCAATAGTGCAAGTCCAGTTCTCTCACAAGTAAATAAAAGAAACACACAATGCTGCATTCCATGAAAGTAGTATTGCACCTATTTTAAGTGCTTTCTCTCTCTTTTTTTTTATTTTAATTTTTATATTTGTAGATATCTGAAAAGCATAAATACAAAATGGAACAGATTGAAAGACAGGTAGATACAGCTGGTAGGGAGTTCTTCTAATGGTACATCCATGAGAACTAGTGGGTGTGGATGTAGTATGTGTAAAGAAGGTAAATAGTACGAAACAACTTCAGAGGGAATTGAAAAAGTACCATTAAAAATAAGGAAAATCTGCCAGAAATTCTGTAAGAAATGTAGGGTATACCAAGATAATTTTTTCCAAGTGGTAATCTAATCATGATGTATAAGTACCCGCATAAAGAACAGATTGTATGATTAAGAGTCTAACTGTAAGAGGAATAACAAAAGCTAGTGACTGGAGTCAGTAACCTGTTAAATTAAGCATGGGAATTTTGTAGTTTAACAATGAGGGCAAGGATTTTTTTAAATTACGAATTTAGGAATATACCAGTTTCTGTGATGCTTGACAATTTCTATCAGTTCATTTTCCAGCCTGTTGTGTTCTATCTGATGGCAGCAGAACCATCACCCACTCCTCACTGGTTTTGCCATCAGCTAAATTGCTGATCATGCACTTTTTCTCATCATCCAGGTCATCACTGAAGCTGATGAGCACACTGGGCATTGGGAAATGTGGCTTTTATCTGGAATTTGTGCTGCTGATTACAGCTCTTTCACCCTGACTGTTCATCTAGTCGAGTTGGTCAGGAATGGCTTTTCTTCCATAAATTTATATTCCCAGTCAACTTAATATGAACCAAAACTGTTCCAGTATTATTTGCTCTATCACCTTCTCAGGGATCATGGTGAGGCTGACTGGCCTGTAACTTTGCAGACTCTTCTTACCCTTTTTGAAGATAGGTGTATCATTTGTTTTCTTCCAGTCTTAAGGAACCAGATCACCAGGACGTTTCAAAGATAATTGACACTGGCCTCACCATTACATCAGCCAGCTCTCTCCACACTTGTAGGTGCATGTTTTCAGGTTCCATGGTCAGCTTGCTTAAATATTGCTTAAATTTTTCCTCACACACTGAGGGTAAGTCATTGGTTTCAGGGACCTAGGACTCTAAAAGCCCATCTTAAAGACTGAGGCAAAGAAGGTATTGAGTACTTCATCCTTTTTTGTGATCTTTCTCACCAGGCCCCCTGCCCCAATCAGGAAAAAAACCTCACATTTTCCCTAAGTCTTCCTTTTGCTGTTTAAAGACCTGAGAAAGCCTTTTTTGTTGCCCTTCAAGTCACCCATCAGATTCAACTCAAAATGAGCTTTGCCTTTCCTAAGCTGATTCCTCCAGCACCTCCGTATTTCTCCTGGGTCACTTCTGCACTTTCCACCACTTGCATGCTTCCTCTTTCAGTTTGGCTTTAATTAGATCTCAATCCATCCTCCTACTTTCTTGATTGATTTTCTGCACATCAAGATAGATTAAAGCAAGTGATCCTTGAAAAATCTATCAGCTCTTCTGGGTCCCTCTTTTCTCCAGAGCCATATTTCCCAGAGCCACCATTGCAGAAAGCAATATATTGCCCTCAGTAGTTTTGGCTCCATTTTGTGGCAGCTGATGTACAAACTGTTGCATCTCTTGCCTGCTTCTATTACCTGTGCTCCAAGCCACCTATCTATGAAGCCCCACAGCCTAATTCTTATGTTTTCTAAGAAGCCAAGTTTGAAAAGCTCTAAGCAATGAAGAAGTATTTTCTTTCACCAGTGCTTGCACCATATGTTTCAAAAAATTCTAATGAGTAGTAATAATAATGTAATCAACTCCCCCAAGAAAATAATTAAATACACATTTTATATTACAGTAGACTGTGCCATATATTCAAGCATTGAATTCAGGCATTTGAATTCATT